CAAATGTAAAACATATAATTAATAAATTGGTGAAAATCGCTTGTGTCCATAATGAGCAGCATTAATATATACCCACATGACAGCTCATTGTTACTTTGTAATTCTACTCCACTACAATTCAGAGGTTAAGCTGTTTTTTTACGCCACTGCATTTATTTTAGTTACTTCGCAGATTCTGATTAATGATGTGAAATATAAACAACCCTTAAATCAGACTTTAGTTACACCTGAGTAAAATTCAGGGAAGGTGATTGTCAAGTGCCAACAATCAGGAGAGATATTTGATAGTTGGTACTTGAGAAGACTAAACATTTATCTGCAGATTTCTATAAAGTATATTCATTACTCATTATTCTCTACTAATAGTTAATTAATTGTGAGCCGACAATTACAGTGAGAACAGCTGCTGAGGCCAGTGCAGAAAGCAGAATAGTAATATATATCACTCAATAATATAAGTAACAGGCCGACATTACACACTTTATTTGTATGCTTTAGTAAATATCTACAAATAAACAGTTGATATTTTTCATGAACCCAAATAGTGCTTTACATAACATATACATGGGCTGTAGCCTGATATATATTATATGCTTTAAGAGCTGTATGTGTGTGTTATGGAATGTATATATGTCTGTTGTAATTGCATGTGCCGCCAGCAGAGGGAGCTGCTGGACTAACACTCAACATCATTGCCAGCAGTGTGTGAGTGTGTGTGTGTGTGTGTGTGTGTGTGTGTGTGTGTGTGTGTGTGTGTGTGTGTGTGTGTGTGTGTGTGTGTGTGTGTGTGTGTGTGAGTGTGTGTGTATGTGTCTGTGTGTGTGAGAGACAGATGATGTGGAAGGCAGAGTAGCTTATCTGACATCTAAATGTTGGAAAATGGTACATTATAGGCTGTGAGCTCCCCGTTTGAGCGACTGACTACTCCTTCGCTATGTAGCATCGCATTGGATATGGGCTGAACTTGTCCTGGAATGGAAGTTTCCCGGCCATTTTCCTAGGAGGCCTTAGCAAAAATGTGCAGAAAATGCATGAAAACTGCACATTTTCAAAATGGCTGACTTTCTGTGGGGCGGGGTAAATGGAAGGCAATTTGAAAGATGTCCGCAATCATAAGAGCAATGTGTATACAACGTTTCGTGCATATTGGAACAACCATATGCGAGTAGTTTCTAATTTGCGACATGTAAATCGTCAACAATTGTATATTCTCTGTTAGCTTACGACCGTCCTGATTGAGCTAGCAACTTTTTTATTCCCAATTTAGCATGGCTGTGGATATGGCCTGAATTTTTCCTGGAGTGGAATTTTTCCGATCATTTCCCTAAGAGCAGTGTGCAAAAATGTGCTCAAAATGCATGAAAAACGGCCATCTTTCAAAATTGCCATTTTTGTGGGGGGCGGGGCTAATGAAAATCCAGTTGAAATATGTGTGCCATCATAATAGCAATGTGTATACAGCGTTTCATGAATAGCGGGATAACTATATGCGAGTAGCAGTGACGTGCGGTGAGGTTCATGGCTGGTGAGGCACTGACTCTTTCAGAGTCAGATTTACAAATATTATATTTTGACCTTAATCGAAATGTTCGGTTATTTTCAAAAGCTTTTTTAGTCTGATGCTTCGATTCATTTTAAACAGACTGTTCAACAAAAGGATACCCCAAATATGATCTAAATATTGGATTGTTCTTTCTTAGTAAGATCCCATGTTCATTTTACAATTGTGGTCTTACCTTGACTTGAAGATGAAGTCCATGCTATCCTTCTGGACAACAATCTCCATTACATTTTTGTAAATGTCCTCCTTATCTCCCTCTAGTTTCAAAACAAAAGTCTAGTTTGTTGTTACCGTCTCTGCGTAGAATAACAGTATGTAGCCGTTGTATGATGAGACCAGCGAGCCTAAATATCATATATACGTGAAATAAGTTATTTAGAGACTATGGATGGCGAGGATAAATGTAATAAAGGGATATACAAACATTACATTGGTGACATACAGTGAGATGGTGCGGGCATGCGCTTAGGGCCCGCTTTCCAGCCAGTTTCTGTGGGGTGACGCATTCTGAGGTGAGGCAGAGCTCAGCTGTGCCTCACCTCACCCCACAATAACTGCCTTGAGCGCGCTCACAAAATAAGTGCCCGTTTCAGTACCAGATATGGGCTGCTTCTCAGGTCGACTATTTTCATTTCCTCGCTCCTCGCTCCTCGGTCTCACCGGAAGTTGATTTGCCTGCGCCATCTTGAGTACCGTCCCATGGCTCTTATTTCTGCCAGAGGACCGAGGATCGAGGAGCGAGGAGCGATAATGGAGGAGCGATAATCGAGGAACCACCAGACCATCCTCCGATGAAATCCTCAGATACTCGCCCCGCCCCCTTACTGTGTATCGCTCACTGATTGGACGATGCAGTGCATGCACTGATTTCATGCTTCTTGACATGAGAGCCGTTTCCCAGCGGAGTGAAGATAATACATGAACCTCACGGGAGTCACTCCTCAGTTTATACCGTGTTTTGTTTCAATTCCTGTTTCATTTAGTTACAAATATGTGATATATCTGAACAACAAAGTGGTCAAAAATCATTTTATTCATTTGTTGGAAACATTTTCATGATCGCTTTTTTCGTTTTACATTTTCATTTATTGTTTTTATTTCCATTCAGTCAGTCATTAAGTGCTATTGAAATGTTAATGTGCTACATATCCAAACAAACAAACAAACAAAGTGTGCAATCCAATGAATGTTAATCTAACTGGGTTTTGATAGATAACATATCTCTTTTTCTTCTCTCAATTATTTTATTCCTATTGTGCACTCTAATCAATATTAATCAAACTATTGTTTGTTTATACATTTTAAGAATGGCGTTTATCTTTTTTGAGAATGAGTTCTTATTTTATTTTATTTATTGGGGTCTACAACAGATGATACTAATGTTTGTGTCAGTAAATGTGTACTAACAGAGGCGGGGGTGTGTGTGGAAATAACGGGGACAGAGCTGGCTGCTGTCAGACGATCAGCTGTGCAGCGTCATCACAAACGGACGTCGCTTCACGTGACGCTCCGGAGGAAAGGACGTCCCATTGCTCCTAAAACTAATTTCCCTGCTTCTCGTGGTTTCCTTGCGTCCCTCCATGCTTCCCTGGTGGGAGGGACTAAACGCAGGGAAACGACGCAAGTGAGGGAAGCAAGGATTTCATTTAATCGACCTGAGAAGCAGCCATGTTCGGGCTACCAGATATGTTCGGGTGTATTTCCGTCGCATCCGTCATCCGTCATATCCGTCTACTCACCTCCCTCTGCTCCCAGCGCTCTGCTGCCACACACCGGCCGTCTGCGGAATTGCAGCCGGAGGAACTCGGTACAGCTTGTTATGTGTGAACGATCTAGATCCCTCCGCTTCCCCATAATGACCACGAAATTCTTTCAAATGAAAGTAGCTAGCCGCAATAGCTCCAAGATTGCTATATCTAGTTTGTAGGTCGCCAAGTTGGCATCATTGACAGTTCTGGTAGCCCGAACATATCTGGTACTGACACCCGCGCTACATTAGTGCCCGCGCTCCAGCCAGTTACTGTGGGCTTACGTGAGGCAGAGCTCGTCCCTGCCTCACTCCTCTTCGCTCCCATGTAGTTGTAGCGGAGCTCGGCCAATTTGCTGATTTTGACTATAAAAAGCGATTGGAATCAAACATAAATCACACTTACAACACAGATCAGTGGAGACATTTTATTATTATTACTATTTAGTTTTTCTTTAGTTGTTTTTCCGTTACATTGGAGTATGACAGGTGAGGCTCTGCCTCCCCTGCCTCCCCTGACTGCACGTCGCTGGCGAGTAGTTTGGAGTCATTTGCGACATGTAAATCGTCAAAAATGGTACATTCTCTGTTAGCTTACATCCGCCCCGATTGAGCTAGCAACTATTTTATTCGCAATTTAGCATGATATTGGATATGGGCTGAACTTGTCCTGGACTGGAATTTTTCCGATCTTTTCCATAGGAGGTGAAAATGCGCTTAAAATGCATGAATAACGCAGATTTTTCAAAATGGCCTAGGGGGCGGGGCTAATGGAAGCCATTTTGAAATGGCCGCAATTCCATGAGGAATGTCTGTGGCAAGATTCGGGTAGTTTGGAGAAACTATATGTGACTATCGCACAATAGGGGGCGCTACTGAGCTGGTTTACAAAAACGTACGATTTTTTTGTACAGTCTGGAAAAGGTCGTGGGCTGTGACGTGTGTTCCAAGTTTTGCGTCCGAAGCTCATTTTAGCGATTTTGTGACATTTAAATAGTCAACAATTGTACATTCTCCGTTAGCTTACGAGCTCCCCGTTTGAGCAGTCAACTATTCATTTGTAATTTAGCATCATATTGGATATGGGCTGATCTTGTCCTGGTTTGGAATTTTTCTGATCATTTCCCTAGGAGAAGTGTCCGAAAACGCGCTTAAAACGCACATTTTTCAAAACGGCCGACTTTATGGGGGGCGGGGATAATGGAAGCCGTTTTGAAATATGTCCGCAATTCTATGAGGAATGTCTGTGCCAAGTTTCGGGTAGTTCGGAGAAACTATATGTGACTACTGCACAATAGGGGGCGCTTTTGAGCCGTATTTGCAAAAACGTACGATTTTTTTGTACAGTCTGGCAAAGGTCGTGGGCTGTGACGTGTGTTCCGAGTTTAACTCATTTGAACACAAAGGTATGAATATTCTTTGAATATTTGCCTAACTTTTCCTTTTCAGATTGTTAAACATTTTGAGAATTGTTTAACTTTTCCCTTCAGATTTTGAGATGACATAAGGATTGATAGTTCAAGTAATGTAATTATGTTATCATGCCATAGTCTTTTGATTTAATATTTAATGAAGCTAACGTAAATATAATCCTAAATTGAAGACACTGCAATTTTGTAAAGCACAAAAGGATGTTTACAATAGAAAGATTCCTTAATTATCTATATTTATTTTATTGTTTTTCTCACGCAGCTATGCTTTGCAAAACCAAGACCACCGAAGTCTGGCTGATGCAGGAGTAAGGAACCAAGATGTCTGTGGACTCTTTCCTGAAGACTCACAACCGAGTCGTGCAGGTACAACTAACAAGTAATGCATGCCTTGTTGTTATTTAAAAATCTGACAATTGAACTGTGTTTGTCTTTCTAGTTAAGAAGTCTGAGCGCCACCGTGTGTTCTATTTTCCTGGAGGTTCTTTTTGAAGAATCAACCAGAGGGAGTGCAGCTGTCGGTGCAGGAGGTAAGTTAGTCACATTATACTGAAGCTATGCTGGGAATAATGTGGACATTAGACACATGTATATCTAAATAGCTCTAGAAATGTCTTGATTTTCCGATTTTCCTAATTTCACCGTAGGCAAATTGACATTGTAGGTCTGTTTGTTTAATTATTTTAGAAGATAAATAACAAAGCCCAAACCATTATAAAACAGACTTAAACTCATATTAAATAAGACCCCAGATGAAACACCTAATCATTATGCATAACCCTAACCAACACAAGTCTTCTTTATGCAGTCAAACACATCTTATTTATGTTTTAAAACTTTATTAATCAAGAGTCATTTACAAACCTTTAAGGCACTTATTTGAGTCAATAACATTGAATGGTGAAAATAAAGTATAGATCAAATAAAACAAACAGTTGGCATTTTACAATAAACAAAACAATCATTAACAAAGTAAGGGTCTACTCAAGTAACATAAATAAGGAGAAAGGTTTCTGGGAATGTTTTGCTTTTTGTAATAAAGTGACTTCCATCCATTGATGCAGGGCTTACCCTTCGGTCAGAGACAAACACTTTAACCACAAACATCTGTCATGGGCACCCGTTATCTCACACTAATGATTCATCTTCCTGTTTCTCTCAGCACACAGAGGTGGATTACAAAACTCGCTTCAAGGGCCGTCCTGAACTCGAGGGTCTCAAGGCGAAGATCAGCCACTCGGACCCCAGACTCACCTTCTTCATTTTCACTTTCCTGACTCCTAAACTGTTCGTCACTCACATGTTAGATCTTTAATTGTTTGTATTTATTCACTGCTGTTTAAGGTGATCATTTGCATACAAAAAGAACTGTACACATTCATGTTTGACTTTCTTTTGTGACAATTTGAAGACAATAAAACCAAGCCTATTTTTTACAATGCAAAACGTTGTCATTTATGGCTCAAATTCAGTTTCTTTGTAACATTTCAGTTACAGTTTTTCTGGTACCACTTTACAATAAGACTACCCTTATAAAGGGCTTATAATTAGGTTATGAATTAGGTTGTAAACACTTTATTAATCCTTAAGAGCAATTTGTAAACCAGTTTTAACATAGTTATAGTCATACATCAACACAGGCTCACTATTTGGCAAGACGACTAAGCCTTATATTCGCTACTTAGCGAGAATCAACTCGGTGAACAACAGATACCAAGGATGCTGATGAAGAAGACGAAGTAAGCTAAGTAGCCAATATAAGGCTTAGCAGTACAGATAAATGTGGGCTCACTATTTGACAAGCAACCGGTCACAGTTGCCCTGTTTATCTCATGTCTTATAAAAGCTTATTAATGATTTATAAAGTGTTCACAACCTAATTAATAAATTAATTACAAACCAATACTTTTGTATTACATACTATACTCTGTCGTTTTTTTATTTTTTCGGCATTAAAGAACCAAACCAACAAAAAAACCATAGTCATACAAATCTAACATTATATACATTAAGTCAAAAATGTTGCAATACAACATCAAAAGTCATATACTCTTTCTCTCATTTCTTTGATTAATTAATCTACTCAAAAGCTTTAGAACTGCGATAGATACAAAAAAAAGTATTTCAACATTATAATCTGTGTCTTTTGAACTGGACATACATTCAAGGTTCAAGGCTTTTATTGGTCATACGAACATAGCTACAGTGTAGTTATGTCGATGAAAATCTCAGATTCACAGGCTCCTCCAAATAAAACAGAAAAAATAGTTCAATAAGAGTCTATATACAAGTGATTGGAATATGATATATTAGATAAATATTTTGTAAATTGTAATTTGTAATTTGTAAAGCATAAACATTGGGTTTACAATACACCTATTTGGCTGGAGTAAAGTATTATTTCAAAGAAAGAAATTAAACATGGAAAGACAGATATAACAAAAACATATAAAACAAATAAAATAAGTGTTATGATTTTCAGAAATCCACAAATAAATCACTAAAATAGGTGATTTTTAAAAGAGTTTAAGGATCAACATATCGCCACTTTTTTCCTCTGAGTGCTGATGATATGAAACTGTTCCGTGGCACTGATTTTCACAGCAGATGCTTCAATTGTCCATAAGCAACATTACCTTCTTTTACTTTCCCATACTTCTTTCTGATCCCTGAAGCTCAGAAACAAGAGCCCCCCCCCCTCTTCATCCCCCTCACATCGTAGGTCTCAGAGATCGCCTTATTTTCCTTGAGTTTATCCAGGAAGGGTTTTTTATCGCTCATTGTGTTTCAGAGCTGCCTGATGGCGATCCACGAACATGCTGATGTGACGCAGGGGGAAAAAGTAAGCAGAATTTCCAGTTATGTGTTAAATTCTTCTTAAAGTGATGAAGAGCAAGATAGCAATAGTGTTTGAAGTAATCGTATATCCCTTATCAATCCAACGTATTTCTCGTCTTACCTTGTTAATGCTCAGCGCTTTGATTTTGGTAGTCTCCTGAAACAAAATAAGTCACAATGCTGGTTGTTTTATATTTTCTTACATTGAATTCACAACACATATGGCATAGGTTTATGCATATTAAGTTAAAGAGTACAATGTGGCTGCAAATCAATTGCAACAAACTCTGACCTTTATGAATGGTACAGGTCCAGAGAGTGTCTTTCCCACTTTGAAGCCAGAGGGTGAAGTCGCTGTTGGTGTTTCTGATCAACACCTCAAAGAAAATGCTTTCATATCTGAGCTCTCGGGCCTGTGGAAAAAAAGGGGGTTGAAGTTTTATTGCTGTCATTATTTTCTATTTTAAGGATTTTTCCCTTGATACATTCTCCACGTTAAACCCTTTTTACACAGTGAAATAAAAAAGTGATTGGAACATACGCTGGGTTGAATGATTGCATCTGCCTGGTCTGTTGTGAGGGACACATGTTCTCCCATTTGCATGGACTTGTCTGGACCTGGGTTTAGGATTAGTATTGATCCAGAAGACTTTGGCTTTTCTTCCACTTCCTGTGAAAAAAAAAAAAAAAAAGATATAACACAATCTTCAAAGTTACAATGCTGATTTCTCTATAGAGTGGTGTAGTGACGAGTCCTAAAACCCGGAAGTGAGTTAGCATTTTACCACTTCCGGTTACCTCGTCTCAGTCAATGGGTTTTTTGAACTAGTTTTTGGAAAATATCTGGAAATAAGGTCTGTGGTTGACACAAATTTAAGAGACGGATCACGTTTTGTTCTACGACATTAAATCCATCAGCAGTGACCCCACTGGTGATTTCTGAAGAGTTGACGTGTCTGAAAAACGATGGTTGTTAACAAGTGGCTGAATAGGACTACAGAAGTTGTCGAGGACGTTGTACGTCATTACGCCGAACACGTAAACCCTCCTCTAAGTTTGTTTGCCCTGTGCTGATTGAAAGCAAGTCCCTGCCTCCCGCAAACTGTTCAAACAAACACTTCAACTTGTAACATTTTGAATCTGTATTTTTTAATATGGATCTTAAGTTGGCGTGACGTTGAAGGCCCTGTCACACTGTCCCGAAATTGACACCCGATGGACACACGAATATGGAATTGTGAATTTCGCACGATGATGGCCCCGAACCACACACGAAGGCAACATTTACATTACATTTAAGACATACAACTGCAATGAAAGTACCAAAAACAATTGTGTTACAGTACTATGATACTGTACTGATATCTTCAGACTTTGTTCTTTACTTTATCCGTCGTTATATGTAGAAAATATTACGTTTTCTCCGTAATGTTGTTTCCATAACAACAACAACTTCCTGTCAACTGTCCTTCAAAATAATATATGATATCCTTTTTAGTTTCACAGAACACAAATTGGGTTATTTACATAATATATTTACATGATTTTGTTGTGCAATAAAACAACCCGATGGACACACGATAAAGGAAATGTTCAAATTCGGCTGTGATCGTAGCAACATCGGGCCATTCGTGAGTGCATCTTAAGCCATCGTATGACCGCCGGTGGAGTTTCTCAGGCTCCGGCAGCAACTTCGTGAGCGGTGGCAAAATCTTTGGCATGCCAAAAAATTGCCGAAGGACCTTGCGAAGGTTCATTTTCGTGGTGAATTTGTGTGTCAATTGTGCCCTTCGTAAGGCCATCGTGAGGGCATCGTGTTATCATCGGTGCCATCGGGCATTCGCCCCGATCAGAGTGAGGGCGAATGCCCGATGGCACCGATGATAACACGAAGATGACACGATTTGACAAGATGTCCTCACGAGTGCCTTATGAAGTTGCCGCTCACTAAGTTGCTGCCGGAGCCTGAGAAACTCCACCGGCGGTCATACGATGGCTTAAGATGCCCTCACGAATGGCCCGATGTCGCTACGATCACAGCCGGATTTGAATATTTCCTTTATCGTGTGTCCATCGGGTGTCAATTTCGGGACAGTGTGACAGGGCCTTGAAGCAGCGACCCTGCTGTAGTTCGTTTATAGCATAACGTTAGCATTAAGCTTTTGGCGATTATATTTATGATTCGTAATAATAAAAGTAGGGTCGACAAGTGGAGATTATCCGGCTGAACAAAACGTGCATTTATCAAACAGGTTAGTTTTCCAAAGATCTTATTTTTTACAATATTACAAAATCCTATGGAGAAATCCCATTGCTTTTTTGTCGAGGGAACCCATGCGCAGCTCACTTCCGGGTCGGCCTACACAAATACGTCATCACTGCATCACTCTATAGGTAATGGAGAAGTTAATATGTTGTCTTCCCAGGTGAAATGTCTTTGTTTGATTTAATGAAATAATAACCTGTTGTAGAGCAGAATCGCGCGGCACCACATAAACATCCAATGTGAGGAACTCTTTGTTCGTCTTGTATATCAACACATCGTAGTAAAATGGGATTCCCGCCATCTTTCGGATCATGACCCCCCTTGGAGGGAACGTTGGCTGGAGAAACTTGATGTGGGACGATGTCACTTTAGCTACTTCTTCCACAACATCACAGCAGGGAACAACGTGAAGAACCGCAAACTGGCCAGAAAATGTAGAGGTTTGATCTACAAAGTACAAAATAATGATGAAGTATATGCTGAATCAAACTGATTATAGTCCTTTCCCACGACATGAACACTCACCGATACAGACCCTGTGGGGCAGATGCACTTCTTCTATCTGCCCAGATGTGACTGTGATGTCCATGAGGGGTCCTGCTGGCATGTAATCCTTACAAACAGGACTCCTCATGTGTTCCTCCCATGAGAGGAACTTGTATTTGAAACTGACTTCTTCCTTACACACCCAGCGCAGGCCAGACACACTGCATTCATAGTTGCCTGCATCAGACTGGAGGCTATTTTGAGGGGAAAATATAACAGATTTTCAGCCCAATTTGCACCATTACTAGTTTAAAGGTCCCCTATTATACTATTTTTCATCAATATATTATTGGTCTCAGATATATATACAAAGCATGTCTCTGAAGTGTTTGGCTCTAAACACCAAACGGATCATTGCAGCATTACCCATAATCCCTTCTGTTTCAGCCCTGTTTCCAAAGTGCTGATTCTCTGTCTGTTACTTTAGATGAAAATAAGGAGCCCCTCCCCACGGCCCTCTGAGAGAGATTTGGTTACAAAGAACACAATGGTGCTCTAGGAGGAGATGCAGGTGATAAAGTTGGGGGGGGGTGGTTACCTTGGTTGGTGATTGGCTAATGGTTACACAAGACAAAACATCGTTATGACATCATAAAGTGGCCAAAATCTGATCAGCTCATTTTCAGACAGGTTTTTATATAAATGGATCAGGACAGAAAGAGAGAGAATCTTTGTTCCTGAAACTTTCAGAATCTCTTTATACAGAGGGGACACATGTTGATGTAGAAGAGACATGAAGAAGAGGGGACACATGTTGATGTAGAAAAGACATGAAGAAGTGGATTTTGCATAATAGGTGACCTTTAAATCAATGCTGTACTTCCTTAAAGGGACCTCCAAAAACAACATGTTTGTCGTCTTAGCTGTAGTAGTAGTTATATTTGTCAATACAGATTTGTTTTGGGTGGATTTGCCAAATGTTGGAGATATCAGCTTTAGAAACATCTACTTTCTCTTGGAGTAAAATGTGATGGCACTCGCCCACGTAATGATACTCTAGAAAGAAAATAGTTCGTAAGTGAAACTGCTTACAACAAGGTATGAGTTACCAGTTGATTAATAGCACTAAAACTAAGAAGAAAGTGTATTTTATGATTCTTTTCCATCATGTGGGGTCAGTGCATACAAATGTGTTACTGTACTGAAGAGGCAATCATTACCTAAAGGTTTGAACCTCATCCACTCTGTTGACTTCAGGTTTAAGTTTAGTCAAATTCCTGGCATCCTGTTTTCAGAAGGGAAAATGTTTTATGAGCAGTCATGGTTGTTGGAAAAGCAATTTAAATTAATATAAATAAACAAATAAAGAAAACGTACCATTTCATCGCCACAAGCTCCAAACTTCAACAACCCACAAGGTTTGGAGGAATCCATCTCTGAGAGTAGTTCTGCCACACAGCACAATGCAATATGATTTAATTAGTGTTGAACACCACAATGACAATGACCTTTGTCACCAAAGAACACATGAAATATTAAGTGACCATGATGTTATTTGTATGAATTTATAATGATGTAGAGTACATACAAGCAATGCAATTTGTCAATTTGTTACTGAATGATCAAAATGTTTACCATGATCATCCAAACTGTATTTTTTATTTCATGTTCGATTTATGGGAATTACACCTTGAACTATATTTAAAATGGCCAGATAGATGTTCACTTATGCTTGAATTATAGTATCTTACCCTTCGTGTCTGCAGTTTCAGTCTGGATGGCAAAGGCTACAGGACCTTTGATGGTGAATCCAAGGTAGAAGGAAACCTTGCGTTTTCTCCAGAGGCTGTTTCGGAGGTTTGCAACCACCTCGATCTCTTTCCCATCAACAGTTGCAAAGAGTCTGTACTCTCGTATCTCCCCTCGAACTTTAAGAAGGCGTTCTTTGACCCATGGATCTTGGAAAATCTTTTCATCGCTCCAATCTTGCATTGTCTCCCAATCGCCCTGACGAGCCGACCCCTCTAGGACAGTTCTGTGAACTATCCTGTTCAGTTCTTGACCTTTTCCGAGGAAAAACAGAGGGCGAAGGTACCTTGAGCGAAAGTGTTTCGCATATGCTTGTTTATACAGGTCTTGCGTACGCTTAATCATTGCACTGAGGTCAAGGATGCATGCGTCTTCATTGCCTGTAGGCCAGTGCAAGAGGAGGGCTAACATATGGGCCTCAGATTTATCCGTGAGGTACATTTCCTGTTTGAAGGCAGTTAAATGTTTGCAATCAGACTCTGGTGCTCCCATATTTCTTAACATGATGTGAGCGAAGATGTTGTTGACCATAGCTGTGTCCGGATCTTTATGAAGACAGATTTCCTCCCACAATGTAGTTATTTCCTTAAGGTCCGATTCAGTGCATTCTCTGTCAAGACATGAGAGGACTCCCGTAGTGGTGCCAGCCTGTTTGAGTTTAAGCTTCTGGATCAGATCAGCACCTTTTTCTTTCAAATGGCTGGATGTGGAGTCTCCAACATACTTCCTGTAGCAAGCCGAGGTTTGTCTTGAAATGTATTCTGGATCGTCTTCCTTTATGTCAGGCTTGGAGTAAGTCAGATACCCGTCAAGAAAAGCACATTTTTTCTCAACTGCATCTCTGAGTCTGTTTATGAGACCATTGAATCTTAAAAGTGAGTGATCTCCAAGAGATGGCAGGGCCGAGCCCAAAGACACCTTCTTCGTGAGAACTCCTCTCCAAGTTGGGTTCTGACTGACAAGTAGGTCATACACAAGATTGCAGACCTGCAGGAAACCAAACATCCCTCTGCTGTTAAAGAAGCGTGAGTCATGGACATTTCTTTTCACCTTTGTCCCAACTTCATCTTCGGCAAGTCTTTCTTCGTCTTCGAAAGCTCGAATGGCCTTTAAGGCCAGAGCCAAAATGCCTCCTGGTTGGGCCGGTCGCCTCAGGTTCTTCAGACGGTTCTTATGGACTTGGCCCAGTGTATCAGCAACAAATGAGTTTTGGAGATCTCTTTGCTTTGCCTCCTTTGCCCACATTTCTGCCTGATCGTAGTCTCTTAGTACTATGCAATGAAAACGAGCAAGTGCTTGTGGAAAAAACGGATTTTGATCAAACATATTTGTTGCCATCTCTAAAAGTGATACACACTGAGAGTCGTCCTCCTTTGTTTGAATATGTAGAATCAGTCTAGAAAATGAATCTATCTCCTCTTTCATCTCTGTAGGATGTATTGGGTTCTCTTCTCTTCCCTTTTCTTTTAGTCTTCTTTTGGTTAGCATGTATTTCACAAAAGCAGCCAAAGATCGAGGGACTTTATCTCTGCACAAACATGTCAAGAGGTGTTTCGCTGTGTCACTTCTGGTCACACCTGCTTCAGCCATCAATTCAGTACAACACTGTGCTATCAGAGGGTGGGCCATGCAGACTCTTTTTTCAGAACCATCTTGTTGGATAGTGATAATGAGATGGCTAAAGTCGTCCAGCATGTCTTCCAGTGATATGTCTTCCAGTGATATGTCTCTATGGCTGTAGTTGGCATGTTTGAACACATCCAGGCACTGAGACTCAAGGAGATGAGAGTCTGGTACATATGCGTTCAGCAGGGAAAGGATGGAAGCAAGGAGGGTTTTCTCTTGTATTCCTGTTTCTTTGATGGTTTTGAATACAGAGCACGCCTCCTGGATGTAAGCCTCAGAAAAATTGCTTTGCATTATGTTAAAGCCATGGAATCGTTTGCATTTATCCCCATACCTCCTGTTGAGCTCCGTCTTTTTGTCATTAAAATGATTCTTCTCTGAGTCAGAAAGCACTTCTTGAAGGAAGACGTCATCACTCTTTAAATCTGCATCTTCTCTAATACAGCTGAGTAAAACCACCACAGGCATACGGGTGACTATCTTCTGATTAGCAATCGTCCTCATAATGCTTACTTGTAGATCTTCCAAAACTTGCACACCATTCACCAACAGCAGCACGGTCTTCTGGTCGCCTTGACTGCCTGCTGTGAAAAGGTGGACCACCTCCTCTGCAACCTTTGTGATGTCCGAGGTTGAGCCTGTTAAAACAGCACTCCTTAAAGTTTTCCTAAAGTCCCACAACACCTTCATGGCCAGTGTTGTCCCCCCACATCCTGGCTGGTGGAACAGTTTAACTGTTGATATTCCAGGGTGTTTTCTCAACTTGTGAATTTGCTTTTCAAGTTTAGCGTATCCATCTCGTTTGATGAAAGGAGATCCGGTGCCATCTAACTCTGCCTGTTCACTGATGTGAAAGTTTAACCATTCGGGTGGGGCCCCTCTGTAAAAGTTTTCCTCCGTCTCCTCAAGAATTTCTGGATCGAAAGACTTTCCTTCAAACTGATTTGCATGGAGAACGTCCAACAGTGAGAGGGAGCGTGTGACAGTGGACAGGGACGGTCCATTCGCCATCTTGGACTCTTAGTTTCCTGCAGCAACAGTATACACACAGATTGTAAATCACCTTAACCGTGATTAAGTGTAATACATACACACACATATAGGGATGGGTATCGTTAAGGTTTTAACAGTACTACTACTTTTATCGATACCGCTTATCGATCCGGTCCTTTAACGGTACTCTTATCGGTTCTTTTGAAAAAATGTAAAGGAAAATTAACTAAACACATTGTGAACTAAATTAACATTGTTTTTTATTTAAAAATAAATAAATAATATCTCACATCAAAAGAAACAGCACCAGGGTTGACTATTTTAGTCTCATTGTACCTGAAACTTTAACAAAATAAATAACTCAGTTACCTCTAATCATTAACCCATGTTTCTATAATTTTGTTAACTCTGTGTGTTGCTGCTAGCATATACCGGCTCCAAAATGGTGAAATGAGCTCCCCATTGAAATCAGGACAGCAGATAGCTTGCACATCTTCCGGGGGAGACTGAAAACTCATCTCTTTCGACTCCACTTCGAGCGATATAATTACTAACAAAGAATTGCTAACAAAGCACTTATATACTAATACAATGGCTGGCTTATCTAAAACCAGTTGAGTAGCACTTTAAATGTTTTAGCTCTATGAAACCTGATCTACTTATATGATTCTGTTTTCTTCAAGTTTGTATCTTGTTGTTCGAACGAACAACAAGATAAAAGCGTCAGCTAAATGCAATGTAATACCTGACGTGGAAACGTTACTCGTTGATGGGGCTATAGAGCTACTCGAAAGACAGTCGAACCCGGTGCATTTCTCCATCTGAATGTGGTGCACGTGTGCAATATGTTTAGACAAATTGCTCATGTTACCGCCCTTAAATACTAAACAAATTCTTATTGCACTTTTGGCAACGTGCATTGTCAAACCTCGAGACGGGTAAAGTTTAACCACACCGCCGTGTGTGTGTGTGCGCGCGTGTGTGCGCGTGTGTGCAGGGCCGCCCCTCCCTACAGGCCAATCACGCAGGCTGCATGGGGCCCGCCTTGTGCAGGGGGCCCCGCTCAGTGGGCCCCGCTCAGTTCTCCGCGCACCCTCCGCGAGAGTGAGAGGTGACAAGGGGAGCACCTCTGTAACCCGACACCGTTGCAATGAATCGACATCTGACCAATCACGGCTTTGATACGGCCACTAGTGCAGGTGAAGAAATGTCGGTGAAAAGACAGTTTCAGTCCGGCGCAAGCAAGAGGGAAAAAAAAAAAAAACATGTAGAATCTAGAGCATCACTCGAAGGTGGGTTATTGTATGAGTGAAATGTACAGCTTGCGAATGTCAAATTGCCAATTGCCATATTAAAACATCAGCTGCAATTCATGACAGGGAGAAGGTCTCTGCATAGCATATAGGCTAATGGAGATGCAGTTATTTCCAGCATTCTTTATTTACCATTCATTCAAGTATGTGATGCCTTTTATCTTCTAATGTACAGGAGGAAGAGTGATACACTGTCTGTCTAGTTGGCTTACATAACAGTTAAAGTTTACAGCCTAAAAAACATGGAGCATTTTTTCTCCTTTTATTCATTTTTATGTCAATTTGCACATTTCATGGTGATGCTCAGCCTCTCCGCTTAACTCCTAACAGTCATCATCATGTCAACCACAACACAGAGAAATACTGATAGAAATGTGTGTGTAGTTGTTGATACATTGCTGACAGAGGGAACTACATTTGAATAAAGATTTAAGAAATATCAGTTTTTGAGCATGTCATAAACATGTTTTGTCTTGACTATATTACAAATAAGTTATAATAAAATAATATAGTATTTATATTATTGAATTGATTATGATTATGATTATTAGTAGAAGTAGTTTATTTGCATTAATTATATTTTAATCTTTTTTGACGTATTCACCTCACATTTACCATTTACCTCACTGTATAAAAAAGTAACTGTGTTGATAATAATAATAAACAGGAATTATATTTGCAAAGTATTCTACTTTGTTTCCAACATGTTTTTCCCCACTCCTGTCGGTTGGGGGGGGGGGGGGGGGCTCATCTCACAATGTCGCTTGGGGCCCCAAGTTGGCCAGGAGCGGCCCTGTGTGTTGCATGCATGTAGCAGCCGCGTGTAAACTGCCCCGCCCCCTCGCACACAGACGGGGGAGAGAGATCTCGTCTGAATTGGAAAGATCAAAAATACATCATAGACGCATTTTGTAGTCTTATTGCATAAGAGAAACGCAGTTCGCAAAATTAAAACGGCAATATAATGTTTATAGTGCTTATGCAGTGGCGAGCCTGCATAAGCCGTTAAAAACATTAAAAAAAACAATATTTTTTAAAATATTTTTTGTTGTTATATTTTTCATTAGTTTTACCAAAATAACTTCATTTAATTGTATTTAAAATAACATTTCCAAAGAAATAAATCCTTCGAATCTGCCTATTCAGTTTCTGTTGGAATGTGAAGGGTTAAATGAAAGAAGCTCGTTTCTGCGAGTTACTGTGAAGAGAGGAGCTGTTGGACGTCCAGGCGGTCCAGCTATGAATTCACACAGGGCCAGCTATAGTAACTGAACGAGAGAGTAATGTCAAATGACAGTACAATTGACCAATTATATCTTCCCTCTAAATGGGTGGGTGTTATTATCGCGGACTTTATGACAAGTTCCGCCCGCTGTGAAACGTTTCTTGTTTCCATAGCAACACTTGCTCGCCTTCAAAACTCGCCTTCAAAATAAAAGCATGCCAAATTACACTTAAGACATACAACTGCAACGAAAGTAACAAACACAATGCAATATCCTTTTCAATTTCAAAGAACACAAATAGGGTTAAGTACAGGTGTTGTTTTGTGTGGTAGAGGGTTGCTTTCATTGATACGTTTTGCACCCCGGGCCGTTGTTTTGATATTCCGCTGAAGTATACGCTGTGACGTAATAACTCGAGGGAACTCACGGCTCGACACTGTGTTTATGTAGCAATAATACATGACATATATTTTTTAAATGTCCAGTAGTAGGAAGGCCGATAACGTCGGAGCTTAACGGTACCACGGTCTTTAATAATTCAGTAACCCGGGGCCCGTTTAATACCGGGGCTCGGTACCCATCCCTACACACATATATATATTTTGAGTAGCATTTAAAACGTGTGTGCCCAAGATGCTCCAAATGATGAAGTAAATGAATACATATAAATTAAATAGTATATGTTAAATATACTCAATATCAAAGAATTGTCTATTACCTTTCCCCATACGATCCAGATGTCTCTGAAGTGTGAACATACCGTGCCACTGGTGACTATGTACTTTAGTCTTATGTAATCGAAGTTAAGGTAACAACATGACACACCCACAGTGTGTGTGTGTGTGTGTGTGTGTGTGTGTGTGTGTGTGTGTGTGTGTGTGTGTGTGTGTGTGTGTGCGTGTGCGTGTGTTTGCAAACAAGCGCTGTAAAGATGTCACGTTGAGCCTTTTGTGGAGTAAAGGAAACCTAACATTGCAGTTTCCTTTTCTCCACAAACGAAACCTAACAATGCATCCTTTCTCTTACAAATTATTCATGGCTGTGACGATTTTAAACTGTCAATATTTCTCCAGAGCAGGATTAAATATTTGTTTTGGACTAAAGGCTTTGCATTGAAACTTTACAACAGTCACAACAAGATTAGATTGCAAAATGGAGCTAATGTTTAACTATGTTTTGTAAAGATGAATCTGTGTGATGCGAGAAGAGCCCATCACAATTAATTAGGGTCCAACGTGACATCTTTAACATTGTTTTGTCCGACAACTTTTTGACAGGGTATTTATGGATATAATTATTAAATATAATTAATTCATTTGAGGAGCTGGAACCATGTTATATGTACGTTTTTACCTGAAACATGAAAAAAGATCAAAATACTTTCCTATTCCTTATTTTCAATTTGCAAATTGATTAACCATTCAAATAAAGGAAAGAAAAAGCCCATATCTAAGCACTGAACAATTGTTTTAATAGTTTGAAAAGAGATTGTATTACTCATTTTGAATATCATGCTCTGTATGGGGCTGAAATCTCAATGTCATACAAAAATAAACAAATTAACCTCTCGAACGTCTTTGAAAGAAAGCAACTTCACATGATATATTGGTTAGCAAATATATTTTAATATATAATATTTATATTCATTTTAGCACAATGACAAAATGGCATAATTTCAGTTTAGTCTCATTTAAATCATGACAAAAAGCCACACCTTTATATCTGTTTGAATAATACATCATATCATAATTTGTTGCAGTCTTTTGCAAAATCACACCTTTAAGTACTTCTTGCTCCATGAGAGGAAAAACCTTAGCAGAAGTTTCTAACAGCATTGAGCCTATGGCATCCAACGGGATTATGTTATGAGCTGTAAACATGATGTAATGGCGCTCTTCACTGCATCGTTAAGAAGTGTCACATCCTCCAAACCCATCACTGAGAACTGGATAAATTCATTGTCTTAAACCAAATTCAAATGTATCGCATTGTCCAACAACCGTAAATGTAGATTAATTATTTAAGAGCAATAAGACTTGACTAACAGGATGGACTGGATTGACGCACCTGTCACTTGCTACACCTTTTGAGAAAGAAGCACATCACAAAACAACAGGCAGAATATGAGAACACACACACACACACACACACACACACACACACACACACACACACACACACAACACACACACACACACACACACACACACACACACACACACACACACAACACACACACACACACACACCCACACACACACACACACACACACACACCACACACCACACACACACAACACACACACCACACACACCACACACACACACACACACACAAAGCGCAACTAAAGTATTAAACGCAGCAACAACCTTAAATCAAAGATAATGTCTTTCTAACGCTATCAATCTCCACTAACACAACAAAACTGTCAAAAGTAAAGTTTTGAGCTGAAAAACAAGAGACAGGGGGGGCGCATAAAGCAGACTCTTCACGCTAACGAAGGATCACTTCTTCTTCTTCAGGGCAGGGAAGGCTAAGCAGTACGCAGGCTACTGTCCCGCAGCTGTTGCCTCTCTGTTAGACTCCGGTACTGCACATTACTCACGAGACGTGAAAAATTGCTTCAAGTGAAACATTCGGGGCTTTTCAGAAAACATCCGGGGCTTGAGCCCAAGTAGCCCCCTAGCGCCGCCACTGACACCACAGTAAAGGTAATTAATTAAACCTCCAGTAACAACGTTCAGATTACATCTAACATAGCCTCCATAGTCCACGCACACACTTCAGAGCATCCCAGCCACAAGCGTTAATGTGAGTCAGAAATTAAGATTGTTCACTACAAACATTATGAGACATTGTTTAAAGTCAAGCATGTCATGATCTCAAATCCATGCATCCCAGCAGCTTGCA